CCCCCCGGACACCCGGCCCACGCCTCCGCCGTGTCCAGCCTCGGGGCTCCCCCGGGGCGCATCTTTGGGCGGACCGAGATGAGGCGTCTTTGGTGGACTCCGGCCCATCGGCATATTCACGGGGGCGCGGAGGCCGAAACGCGACCGCCCGCCCCGCACCGGGGGGAAGAGGGGCCGCGAACCGGGCGAGGGAGCTCTCCTCCCCCCCCCCCTCCCCCCCCCGAGCCTTGGTTACTGCGGGGCTGGCTCATCATCCTGAAGCCGGAAAAGTGCCAGCAGCGATGAGCGTCTCCCGGAGCGCTCGGCCAGCCGCGCGGACTTGGTCCGTGCCAAGATGTCTTCGGAGGGCAGACGTGGAGGGGGCGAACACGATCTCCCTTTGTGTCGTGTGCTGTCCTGTGTGAGGCCCGCGTCGAGGACCATGGGTCCGGGGCGGCAGCGGGGAGAGGGGGGGGGGGGGGCCGGCAGCGGGGGGAGGGGAGCCCAAGGCCCCGAAGCTCCGGAGGGCCGAGAGATATATCAGCCGCCGGGATCACTCCCAGCTCTCATCGGGCTGATGGCATCCTCCCTTACTGGCAGGCACCCCTCCTCCTCCTCCTTGCTTCTCTCCCCCTGCATCGACCCCTCGCGTGTTCCTCCCATTCGTCCGGATTGGGCGTCAGGCGCTCCCATGTCCTACTCGCATAACCACCACTCGCGCGGAAGCGCCGACTACTACCCCTCCAGCGGTCAGCAGCCGCGTAGCTCCCTGCACGACCCGTACTCCGGTACCGGCGGGCATCTGCCCTATGATGACGATGCCGAGATGGGTGCCTCGCATTACGACCGCGAGCGCCAGGACCTCGAGCACCCGCCCCACCACCATCACCACCACCACCAGCAGGATGGCACGTATTACTCGGCCGAGAAGTCTCTTCTCGGTGGCGGCGAGGCTGCTCCCTCGGGCCCGGCTGGAGGCCCGGCCAACCCTGACATTGAGCCCGAGGCCAAGGGCCATCTGACCTTCCCTCTGCTGGTGTCTGTTTGTGCGTTCCCCCCTCCCCTTTTTTTTCGCCCCCCCCCCTGGCTCCTGCGCCGAAGGCTCCTTCTCCCTCTCGCCTGCCCTCCTCTCTGACCGTCCTTCCGTTTCGCCCCCCCCCCTCCCTCCCGCCGCCGCCGCCGCCGCCGCCCTCATCCACAACAGTCATTGCTGTGATTGGTGCCTTTAGCAACGGCTTCCACACCTCCGTCCTCAACACCTCGGGTGGTACCTTCCGCCATTGTGACCTGCTTGATGCGTCAAGCGCCGCCTCCAGTGTGGCCTCCAGTGCTGCCTCCAGTGTGGCCTCCAGCCTGGCCAGCTCCGCCGGTTTCGGCACCCTCGGCGAGATCCGAATCATTTTGCCAGATTGCTTCTACATGACCGATGGCATTTGGGGCACGATCATCGGCATCTTTTCGATTGGTGGTCTGCTTGGCAGGTGCGCGCTCCCGGAAGCTTCCCCCTCCTGCGCTCCGCCCGCTCTCTCTCTCTCTCGCTCTGCGCCTTGGGGCGGTCCTCCGGCCCAGCTGGATACTTACCCTGTGTCCTGTTTGGCCCTCCTGTCGCCAGTCTCACGGCGGGTTACCTGTCCGACAAGTTCGGTCGCCGCCGCATGATGCTTTACAACACCGCCATCTCGGCCATCGGCACGGCCCTCATGGCCATCTCCTTCAATGAGCTGATGTTCGGCTTCGGGCGCTTCTTCGCCGGTTTCGGTGCCGGTGTCACCATCGTCGTGGTCCCCACTTACATTGGTGAGATGGCCCCGGTCCACCTCCGTGGTACTCTTGGTGTGATGAACCAGGTACGCCCGCGCGCCTCCCCCTGATGAGCGCGACTGCCCTCTCGGCCGCCCACATGTGCACACACTCGCGCCTGGTGCTCCCATGGACGCTGACCCTGCCCCCCCCCCCCCCCCCCCCCATCGGTGTGCGCGCGTCTAGCTGTCCATCACTTTCGGCATTCTCTTCGCCAACACCCTGTCCCTGTTCATGTCCACCCCGGAGCTCTGGCGGTGGCTCATCTCCTTCGGCATCTACATCCCCATCATCCAGGCCATGCTGCTGCCCTTCGCCCACGAGTCTCCCAAGTGGCTGTACATGAAGAAGCGCTTCCACGAGTCGCGCGAGACCATGTCCCTCATCCGTGGCATTCCCCTGTCCAACGATGAGGACCCCACTGCCATGCTCTCTGACGGCGACCTCAACGACCTGGATCCGGACTCCCTGCCCTCCGAGCGCCCGGGCAAGGCCGCCCCCCGGCGCCGCATCACGGTCTTCGAGATTGCCAACGACAAGACCCTGTTCTTCCCGCTGCTTGTGACCGTTGTCCTGCTGGTGGCCCAGCAGTTCTCCGGCATCAACGCCATCTTCTTCTACTCGACCGGCATCTTCTCCGACGCCTTCCCCAACAAGGCCGGCCACATTACCGTCGCCGTGTCGGCCTTCAATGTTTTCATGACGATCTTCGCCTCGTCGGTCATCGATCGCCTGGGCCGGCGTTTCCTGCTCCTGGTGTGCCATATCGGCATGATCGTCATGGGTGTCATCTTCACCGCGGCCTATGTCAGCAATGTCGACTGGCTGGAGGTCCTGTCGGTCTTCCTGTTTGTGGCCTTCTTTGCCGTGTCTCTCGGCCCGATCCCGGTTATCCTTCTGTCGGAGGTCTTCCCCACGCATGCCCTGTCGGCCGCCTCCTCGGTGGCTCTGGCCTTCAACTGGATCTCCACCTACACCATTGCCCAGACTTTCCCCCTGGTGTCGGGTGCCATCTCGGGCTACGCCTTCCTGCCCTTCGTCGTGGCCTTGGTCCTGTCTCTGATCTTCACTTGGCGCTTTGTGCCCGAGACTCGTGGCCGCCCGGTCAATGTCAACCACGCCGCCCTGCAGTCCGCCTCGTCGGCCTGGGCCGCCATTCAGGAGGGCAGCAAGTAGGACATCTTCGGCTGCTCTGGCACGCGCCTCTCCAGCCATGCGCCATCATTGGTGCGCCTGCGCGCCTGTTTGCGCGCACACGCACGCGCGCATGCCCACTTCCCCCTTTCCCCGCTTCTTCAAATACACTACAAATACTCCAGATTGCCCCGGCTCCGCCAGTAAATCCCATCTTTCTCTCCTTCTCTCGGCTCTTCGCTGCCTCTCCTTGCGCGACATGCAGTGCATCTGGCCTCAAATGCATGGGATGGGTGGGCACACACGCCTATGTGCGTGCATTCACACCCACACATACACCCACACACACCCACAACATGCACGCGCATAGCGACTCTATTGACCTTCAAAGATCGGCGCCACACAGGAAAGACGGGCGAAGATGGCATCTACTTGCCTATCAGTTGCGCTTGTTATCCATCCTCTCCAGCGATCGGAGGTAATCGGAGTCCGTGAAAAGCGTCTCAGCCATCCGCCGACGGTAGTAACGTGCCCGAACCAGGACACGTGGGTCCAGGTGGGCCTCCAGCCGGGCCAGTGCCTCGGGCGAGGGGGCATCCCTCGGGGTAAGCTGCTCCTGGCGCAGCTCCGCCGCCAGCGGATCCAACGACGGGCTGATATACCGACAGGAGAGGTACACAGAGCCCAGGTCGTGACCGTGGGCATGGAAGCCACGGCCATCATCACTGGAATCCGCGGCCAACAGAGTCAGGTAATCCAAGAAGAGCGGGTCCTCGGCCTGATAGTGCGGATCTTCGGCCAAACGCGGACGAGCCGGGTCTGCCCGGGGGTGATCTTTGAGGGAGTACCGCCGACGGTCGGTTACAAAGAGGTGCGGGTCGGCATCCGGATCGGCATCCGACCGACGGACGAGCGTCTCCCCGTCGGCCCCCTCGCCGGCCGGCCGAATCATCCATCCGTCGCCGGAAAGTGAGGCAGCATAGAACGGCAGTGCCATGATCAGGGCAGCCACATTCAGCTCGCCAAAGCGCATGGTGTCCCCTCGGAGAATGGCCTGAATCAGGCGATGCAAGTGCGTCGGCGTGAGGAAGGCCTTGGCTCGACGGCCGGACCGGGTGTCCTGCAGACACGCGCGCTGATTTGTGCGCCGAGAGGACAGGCGCAGGATGGGCATCGACCCGCGACGGATCAGGTGTCCGCGCAGCGGGGCCACGGCCGAGCGACCGGACTGCTCGGGTGCCAGGCCGACAGGGAATTCCGGCATGGCTGCCGTGTTGTCTTCGGAGGTGTCGGCGGCCGGCTGCAAGCCTGGCGGCTGCGTTGCGGCAGCCTCCGCGGCCGCAGCGGCTTCGGCCTCGGCCGCGTGCTGCGCCGCGCGGAGCTGCAATGCCACAAGGGGACTCATGTGTCGGGTGGCCGCGGCTTCGAGAGCGGCCGGCGGGAGCTTCGGCTCGGCAGCCAATTCCTCAAGCGTGGGGATGGCCGGCGGCGGAGCATTGGGATCGAAGCTGCTTCCGTCTTCCCACTCGGCCTCGGAGCCGGAATCCGGCTCCTCCAGGTCCGAATGCTGGGGGGTGTCCTCCTTGGCGGGGGCCATTCCGCTGGCCGCGAGTGCGGTTGCTTGGGACATGCCCTGGCGCTGGCGGCGGAACCGCTGCCGGAGACTAGCGTCCAGCATGTTATGCAGGCCATTCGGCGTGTGGTTGATCGTTGTGCCAAAGCCAATGAACAGCAGCCGGGGGTGAACCGTGCGCTTCCAGCGCTCCAGCGGGTCGGCCAGGTGCCGGCTTCGCCAGGCGGCTGTCAGCTCCTCCGGCGTCGGGGGCACGGTCGGACTCACGGGCGGAGCCCCGGCAGCCGCCGCACGAACCCGATGCAGGCTCGTCTCCAGCAGGCGCAAGTCCGGCGAGTCGGCTCCCAGGTAGTCCAGGATTTGACGAACTCGATCCAGATGGTGGATGGCCGGTCGGCCGGTCTGTGGGCAAACTTGCGCGTCGAGACCCAACTGCACCTCTTGACTGCTCCAGTCCAGGCCGTAGAGCGGCCGGCGGGCATAGCGCTCTGGCGACATGGCCAGGCGCTGGATCAGCAAGGGTGGCAGTGGAACCACCAGCGGAATGTGGGACACCATTTCAATCACCACAGTGTAGCTCCAGTTCAGTTTCTGACAAAGCTCATCGTCGTTCGCGAGGTGAAGGCGCTGCATTTGCCAGGGAAACCGGGGAAGGAGGAGGGAAGGCGGGGACGTTGTCAGGCCAGGCATCTCGCTTTGCGTGTGGCGGCCGGGGAAGCCGGGACCAAGGGATGATCGATGTGTGCGAGAGAAAGAGAAAGAGAGAGAGAAGGAGTGGCTGCTGCTTGGATGGGTGCTCGATGCCGGGAGACGCACGTTCAGGAGCATTTCCGCCAGCCGACGAAGGCGCCGCTTGATGTGGGGCTTCTTGCAGCAGCGCGCCAGGAAGAACATGTACTGCGCACAGTCAGATGCAACGGACAGGAGCTCGGGCTTCGGGGTGGGAGGATTCCCGGGATGGGAGGCGCCACGCGGCCTCGCGAGCGGGCTCCGCCGGCTGAAAACCGAGGCGAGGGCAATTTTCTCCAAAGCCTGAGGCAGCGAAGGCCGCAGAGAAATGGCTCCGACATCCACGGCGGCGACCGTGGCCGCCAACTGGGCCGAATGCTCAGCATGGTAGTTGTGGTGCGCCAAGAAGTCGGCCGGCGTGAGAGCCGGCAAGGTAGGCCGGCCCACCCGCCGACTGAAAGGGTGTGGTAGCTCCAGCGTCATTCCGGGCTGGGGATACACCCGCGTGTATCCGCGCTGTGGAGGATGGCGGCACCGCTGCTGCTGCTGCTGCTGCTGCTGATGGTGGTGATGGCTGGTGACGGTGGCGGCGGTCATTGGTGCAACACGCCAGAAGGCCGGCGGCCGGGTGCCGCAGCGGCCGAGAGCCACCATCAGAGACATGACGGGGAAGTTCGCGGCCAGGGAGAGGGGGAAGAGGAGAAAGACAGGAAGGGGAAGAGGGGGGCGGGAGGGGGAGGGATGGGAGGAGCAAAGAGGAGAGCAAGCAAAGGGGGGGGCCGGGGGTGCACTCGCCACTGGTGGAAAGAGGGTCGCGCTGCACGCGGCTTTTGTACCGAAGGGGGATCGCCTAAAGCCCCGACCGGATCCCCACGCACGCCGGCCCCTCCCCGGACGTCGATCTCTTGCCAGGTGGGGCGGCGCAAGAGGGCCCAAGCTGCCACCGGTCGGATGGGCCTCGTGAACGCGCGGGGGGGGGGGGGGG